ATTACAGTTTTAGGGGCACCTGGGTGGCTCAGTCGTTGGGTGTCTGCCTTCGGCTCAGGTCATGATCCCGGGGTCCTGGGATCAAGCCCCACATCGGGCTCTCTGCTCGGCTGGAAGCCTGCTTCTCCCTCTCCCACTCCCCCTGCTTGTGTTCCCTCTCTTCACTGTGTCTCTGTCAAATAAATAAAATCTTTTAAAAAAAAGAAGAGAAAATTACAGTTTTGTAATCTGCCCCATATAACATGTTTAATGTTACTATATATATTCACCTGATTTTTAAATTTTTTTTAAGATTTTCTTGGTTTATTTGAGAGAGAGAGCGAGCAAGCATGAGAGGGAGGAGAAGCGAGGGAGAGAGAAAAGCAGACTCCCACTGAATGCAAAGCTGGAAGCAGGGCTTGATCCCAGGACCCCAAGATTATGACCTGAGCTGAAGGCAGACACTTAACTGACTGAGCCAGCCAGGTGCCCCTTAATTCTCTTTTTTAAGTAGGGGCTTAAAAGCCCCCAACATAGGGCTTGAACTCACAACCCTGAGATTGGGAGTTGCATGTTCCTCTGACTAAGCCAGCCAGGCGCCCCTATATCTACTTAACTTTTTGATATTACAAATAATATACCTATTTTGAAAAATAAAAGAAGACCAGAGTTGTAGAATTCTAAGTAAGAAATTGCATCCAATAAATCATATTCTTTTGGTGAGTTTGAGTCTCTTTAAGACTGTTGCCTTTCTTTAAGTTCCTCTTCACCATTACTTGTCTGGTAACTTCCAAACTGGTCTTCTTCCATTTTCATTTTGTTTCCCACCATCACTGAAGGACAAATACTGTAGAATGGTGGTTGCCAGGGCCTAGGGGTGGGGGAAATGAAGAATCATGGTTCTGTGGGTATAAAGTTTCAATTAAACAAGATAATAAAGTTCTATATCTCTGCAGCATTTTGCTATATAAATACTGTACTATATTGCTTTAAAAATTTTTCAGATGTGTTCTTACCATGATTTTTTAAAAATTAAAATGATAGCATTAACAAAAGTGCTGGTAGTGAATTATACCTAATAAAGTTGTTTGTCAGCTTCAAAGAAAAAATTGAAAGCCTGATGGAAGAAGATACAAGAATTGAGGCTTGTTGCTGGAGACAGGGAAAGAGTGCATCAAGATCAGGGAGAACCGTGCAATAAGTACTTTTAAGACTATGTAGCCGAGTTGAGCCAAGAGGAAACGTGGGGTGAGTGGGTATCATATACTAGTTTTCCATGGTTTGCTGTGTTTAGCCTCTGTTACCCCAAGTGCAAAAATTAAATAACAAGAAAAATTGGGGATGAACCAGTGTGATTTCTCACTGTACTGACAGTTCCTTTACATAATTTGCACATAAGCTAATTAATGTGTTGAAATGTGTTGTAGCTGAACAGTAGTGGTGATTTTCTACCTTTTCTGTGCTCATCATGCCTTTCTTTCCACTGTCAATGCCCAGGTTGTTTGTATTATCTTCCAGCCATGTGTGTCCTTCCGATCTCTGTTAATTTGTTCTTTATAATGGTACAAGAATTGTCTATTGGAAATATTAAATCTGATCAAACCAGTCTCCATCATTAGAGCGTGTTTTTCATACTCTTGGTATGTGTAATTCATTCTCCATGGTCTCTGTTTTCATACTTTTTCATTTTCCTCTTTTGCTGTATGATACAGGTTTTCTTCACACCACATTTTGGAAAATATGCCCTTAGTTTTAAAGTCTAATGTTGGTTACCTTTAGGACCTCAAATAACCAATTTTTTTTTTTTTTTTTTTTTGAGAGGGAGAGAGGTAGAGAGAGAGCCAGAGAGAGCACAAGCAGGGGGAGCAGCAGACAGAGAGAGAAGCAGGCTCCCTGTGTGGGACTCGATCCCAGGACCCCGGGATCATGACCTGAGCCAAAGGCAGACACTTAACCGACTGAGCCACCCAGGCGCCCCTCAAATAACCAAATTTTAACCCTACATATATTAATTTATCAACTTCCCAAAAAATTTTATCAAGTGACTCCCTGCTATAACAGATGAGAGTATCAATTTCTGTATTTCCTTTTTTGTTTTCCTCTATTTCCACTCATCTTTGTCTTCCAATATTTGTAAGACTACTATGTGATAAACCGTCCTGACTTTTGTCAGTATGTAAGTTAGTAGCTTTTTTCAGAACCATTAAACTTACATTCTGTTCTAAGACCATAGTAAATTGTCATACACATTTGTGTGCTTAAATGAATTTATTCTTCATCTCTTATTTAAATTCAGTTAATTAACAGAGTTTATTATTAGTTTCAGAGATAGTTTAGTGATTCATCAGTTGCGTATAACACCCAGTGCTCATTATATCAAGTGCCCTCCTTAATGCCCATCACCCAATTATGCCATCCCTCCACCCACCTCCCCTCCAGCAACCCTCAGTTTGTTCTGTAGAATTAAGAGTCTCTTACGGTTTCTCTCCCTCTCTGATGTCATCTTATTTTATTTTTTCCTCCCTTTCCCTATGATCCTCTGTTTTGTTTATTAAATTCCACATATGAGTGAAATCATATAATTGTCTTTCTCTGACCTATTTCACTTAGCATAATACCCTCTAGTTCATCCACATTGTTGCAAATGTATTCATCATCTTTTATATTTTGTTTGATACCACTGTTTCTGTGAGTTCTTTAATTTGATAGCAAAGGATAATTCTCTATAGCTTATAGTGCACTAAATCTTTTTCTGGAAATACAGCAAACCTTTTGATCAAATTTAGGTCTTCATGTCAGGAAATTTCTGTTACATCTTTATATTTTCTCTTATTCTCTTGTCTGGATCTGCATAACAGTGATCTTCAACCATTTTATTTCTGTACTTTTTCTTTACATCTTACTTCCTTTTTCTCAGAATTGTTCTCTATTAATGACTTGGTTTTACTGCTTTGACTGTTGTGTTGTTGATACAGTTATTCTGCTGTTACATTTGTCTGTTCTTCTCTTTCCTTAATTCTGTATGCTACCTTTTCTTTTCAGTGTCATTTTGATCATAAGAATTTTATTTTTCTCAAATAGGTAAAGCAATTCTTTCTGAAATTTTCTTCTATTTCCTGTGACAAATATTAATCCTGAATGGATTTTTCATCTGTCTAGTGAACACATGGGTATACTTTGAATGGTTTCATTAGGCCTTGGAAAACCTAATGGAGCTTGTTGGTGGTTTTTGTATAAGGAGGACTTTGAGAAGGCGCCTGGGTGGCTCAGGCGGTTAAGCGTCTGCCTTTGGTTCAGGTCATGATCCCAGGGTCCTGGGATCGAGTCCCGCATTGGGCTCCCTGCTCAGTGGGGAGCCTGCTTCTCCCTCTGGCCCTCCCCCCTCCCACTTGTGCTCTCTCTCTCGCTCTGTTGTCTCTCTCTTTCTTTTAAGGAAAAAAAAGGAGGACTTTGACTTTTCCTCCCTCTGCTTCAAGATGAACTAGTATATTCTGAGGCCTGAGGCTGTATACATGGTGTTCTGGTGATGCTGCTGCTGCCACTGAGGTTAGGGATAATACTGATTTCTTTATAATTTTCTTAATCCTGATTTTTCTAGCTCTTTAATCTTCCTTTAAGATAAAGGACAAAATACAGAACCTTGTCACTTACTCCTGCCGTTATAAAGTACTCTTTGGCCACTAGGGGAAGAGGAACTTCAACTAGGGTATTCCACATCTTTTCCCTTACCACATCCATGCTCCTGTCCCCATCTACCAATGTGGAGGTACCAGTGAGCATTTCCCAGGGCATGCTGCATATGGATTCTCGGATTGGTCTTTCAGTTTGGACTAACTCATTCAGTATTGGAGTGATACTTTTTAATAAAATTTCATGGTATAAATTTGAGATCTCCTAGTTTAGGGATATTTTAACTCTTTTTGGCTATTTAGTTTTGGGGAAGGATATCCTCCTGCAAGCCCACATCTATGCCACCATCTTTTCTGGAAGTATCATAAGTAATAGACTTTTTAGCCTAAAAGAGGGAGGCATTATTTAAAATGAAATTATATGCATATTTAATCTAACCCTGGATCTATTCTACAGAAAAATGCATACATTCAAAATGTTGCACAATCTTAAGGGGTTTACTCCCTCTAGGACATTCTTAAATGGATAATACATGATCTTTCAAACTTTCTTATTTGAACCTTCTGTATGGATGCAGACATTTTCAGAAGTCTAAGATAGTGAACCTGAAACTTTAGTATTCATAAGAAACTCGAGGAATTGGTTTAAAATGCAGATTTATGGACCCTTTCCTCAGAACGTCTGATTCAGTGTATTTGAATAGGATCCCAGAAATCTTTTTAGCCAGCTTACCCTGGTGTAGGTGGTCCACAGTTTAACTTTGAGTAATGCTCTCTTAAGTGTTGAAATAATCCGATTTAATTATGAGATAGGTATTTTAGGTAACTAGGACATTTCAGGCTGTCCCCTGGGGCTGAATACCTGACAGCTGGTTGGCTTGGCTTCTAGAGGACCTACCACTCACTGGGATAGATGTTCCCTTCATTGTCTTCTCTTAATCCAAAAGTTCAATTTCCCAAACTTTGGGATTTTATGGACGGGGAAATCTTCACTTGCCATTCCACCCCCCAACAAGAAATCTCACATAGGTTTGCTAATTTTTTATTTTGCTGAATGATGTTAAAAAATCAACAATGAAAGAGGACATTTTTAAAACCTCTCACCACAACCACCAAAGATATAAATAAATAAAAATGTGGGAAGAACATGACCTCATAATACAGATTGTCTTTTAAATTGAGTACATTTAGCTCTTTTAGCTCTAGGCAGAACCCACTCTGTTTTCCTCTTTTTTTAAACAAAATTTCTTGAGCTACAGATTAATGAATATTTTCTCACAGATGACATTTAAGAACTGCTGTTCATTGGTATTTGAAAGAGTGCATTTCTAAGAGGCACTACGTGAATGTGATGAGTACACGTATCTCTCATATCCTCTGTTTTCTCACCAGTTCGGTCCTTTGGTACAGAAGACAGACCAACAGATCGTCCAATACCACCTCGAGATGAAGTCTTTGAATACATCATATTCCGTGGGAGTGATATTAAAGACCTCACTGTTTGTGAGCCACCAAAACCACAATGTTCTTTGCCTCAGGACCCAGCTATCGTTCAGGTATCTGATAGTAAATTTGTCTTAGAGTGCAAGAAAACTTCAAGTACATGGCGAGTCTTGGCTTTTACCTCTCTTCTATTTTGGTTTTGGGGTGTTTTTGTTTGTTTTTCCTCAATTGAATGTTCGTGTGCTTATCATTTCCTAATTACCTAAACCTAAAATACCTGGATAATGTTTTCATCTAGGTTTTTTTTCTTTAGATCATAAGTTGGGACTAAATAAAGTAAGAAATATGGGGCGCCTGGGTGGCTCAGTCATTAGGCATCTGCCGTCGGCTCAGGTCATGATCCCAGGGTCCTGGGATCAAGCCCCGCATCAGGCTCCCTGATCTGCGGGAAGCCTGCTTCTTCCTCTCCCCCTCCCCCTGCTTGTGTTCCCTGTCTCGCTGTCTCTCTCTCTGTCAAATAAATAAAATCTTTAAAAAAATAAATAAAGTAAGAAAGAAATAGCAGAGGGATTTATTTTTATCATAAAATATTTTCTGATTTTAGCAAGTTAAAAATAGCTTACATTTATTGAGGTCTAACTGTATGAGAAGCACTGTTCAAACTACTGCACATACAGTAAGTCAATCCTCACAATACTCTCTGAACTTGGTACTATAATTATAGTATAACTGTATAATTCTCCTTTTTATAAGTGAGTAAATTAAGATAGAGCCATAATTTGGACAGAACCAGATAGTCTGGCTCTGGAATCCAGGATCCATGTCACTTACTATGTTATTCACATTTGGTTCATATTACAAACCAGGGTGGTAATGGCTACTCTTAGGTAAGATTATTAGGTTCAGTGAAAAAAAGGAATAAATCATATTGGTATCATACATATATATAACATAATATGCATGCAGTATTGTATAATACAGCACAAACATAAAGGGATTTTAACATACATAGGTATATTACTCAATTCTCTAAATAAGGTATAAAAAGGGATGGCTGGGAGGCTCAGCCTGTTCAGCATCTGCCTTTGGCTCAGGTCATGATCCCAGGGTCCTGGGATCTAATCCCACATCAGGCTCCCTGCTCAGTGGGGAGCCTACTTCTCTCTGCCTGTCTGCCTGCTGCTCCCCCTGCTTGTTCTCTCTCTCTGACAAATAAATAAAATTTTTAAATAAATAAATAAGGTATGAACAAAGAAGACCCTAAGTATTCTCAGTAAAAGAAATAAAAAATTTATATTTTATTAAAAACAGAAATACATGATTTCTAAAAGATTATAAGTTATGAATTAAGGAGGATATTCATTACAGTGCTTGTTTACATGATAATTGGAAGTATATAGAAACTGCCTGAATTTCAGTTATAACAGCAGAGGAAGCGGATTGACATAGGAGTGTTTTCATTTTAGGGCATAGCTGATTAAAAGCTTATGGACCCCATGATTTTCCTCTTGGATCCATTTTCTTCTCAACCCTTTTTCTTGTCAGTCTTTGGTCATTTGCACTAAAATTTGCTTGTTGATTTTTTTTTAAAGTAATGTAATACTTTTAGATTTTTTTAAATTAACTTTGTTTTATGCTGTGGTGAAATCTTAGTTTTCCACAAAACAGATTCTTAGAATATATATTATCTTGCATAAGATTTGTCTTACTTCCAATATTAAAATACCTAATGAACTCTTCTAAAGAAAATAATAAGTGATATATAAAATTAAACTGGAAAAAAAGGGGTGCCTGGCTGGTTCATTTGGTGGGGTGTGTGACTCTTGATCTCAGGGTTATGGGTTTGAGCCCCATGTTGGGCATAGAAATTACTTAAAAATAAAATCTTCTTTTTTCTTAAGATTTTATTTATTTAAGAAAGTACGAGCACAGATGGGGAGGAGGGGCAGAGGGAGAGGAAGAAGCAGACTCCCTGCTGAGCAGGGAGCCTGATGGGGGACTCAATCCCAGGATCCTGGGATCATGACCTGAGCCGAAGACTGACACTTAACTGACTGAGCCACCCAGGCGCCCTAAAAATAAAATCTTGTAAAAAATGGAAAAAAAAGAGAAAGTACCTTTTAATATTTATTTAATATATTTATCTTTCCTGAATATAAGTTTTTTAATAAATAATTAAATTTATTCTTATAAATTGGAGAAATTCCTCTTCTCTCCCCCCCGACTCCTTGTTAAGTCTAACTTTTAAGGAAGTAAGTCTGAAGGAATCCTGAGAAAATGTGCATTTTCTTAAATGGAGAGAGAAGAGACACATTTTAGTAGAGATAGCCTACACCAAAGAGTGGTATTATCTGACTCTCTCGTATAGATTTTCTGATAATTCTCCAGGGAAATAGTTATTTAAGTTATCAGCTTTATGGAATCCAAAGAACCAAGAAAACAGAAGTCAAACTGGTGTTGAATAACTTCTTCCAGTCACCATAAATTTTGACTTTTGACCTTTTGATTCATACATCCAAAAGTATTTATTGAACACCTGCCATGTGCCTGATACTAGCAGTGAACACACAGACAGGGTCCTACCATCAATGAGCTTATATCCTTATGGTAATTAGTACACTTCATATTTGTATTATGAGATATTTTATATGAAGATAAATGAATATACAATATGCATATATACGTTCTATAATACATTTTAGGTTTAGTAAGTTGAAATTTTTGTAAAATGTTCTTTAACTTAATGAAAAATATATTTTAAAAATGTAAATGGTCATGGGGCACATGGGTGGCTCAGCTGGTTAAGCATCTGACTCTTGATCTCAGCTTAGGTCTTGATCTCAGAGTTGTGAGTTCGAGCCTCACATTGGATTCCATGCTGGACATGGAACTTAAAAAGATAAATAAAAAATAAAACTGTAAATGGTCTTGTGTGGGATAGTTTGTTTCTGCATCTCTTCCCTGTAAATTTAATAGCGTACTTCAAATGATTGAAATATGAGCAAAATCACAAGTGAGATACCTTATTTTTGTCAGCACCAGACTAAACTCAGTATAACCAAATGTAATTTTTCCCATATTTTTTCTTAAAACAAAGTTACTTTACTTATTCAAGTAACTTTTCTTTCATTCTTTCCTAAACTTGCTATAAAACGCTTAACTCTCCTTAACTGTAGAAAAATATATTTATAAGTCACATCAAGCATAATTGGCACATACACAAATATTGAAATCAGGAGGTTGTTAAACTGTTTTGATATTAAGTGCATGTTGTAAGTTATTATAATTGCTTTTGTATCTAATAGTTATAATTTAAAGCCTTCTTTAAAAATGTAAATATTTGAATTTTTTTCGTTATATACATGTTGTGTAGAGCCTGGAAAAATAATCCATGATCTTTCTTCAGTCTTCACTAGGCTCATCTACTTCTTCATTCCAGTCAGTGGGTTCCTATGGACCTTTTGGCAGGATGTCGACATACAGTCAGTTCAGTCCAAGTTCATTAGTCGGGCAGCAGTTTGGTGCTGTCGGTGTTGGTATGTTGTGCTTTTTTCTTTTTCTTTTTTTTTTTCTTAAATTTACCTGTCTTTACCACAAATTTACAGACATGTTGTTTGTTCCTTTTGTAACCTATTAATTTAAAGGTTTTATTTAATGTCCTTAATAACTAGTGGTTCTATAAAGGTCATCTCTCAGAATAGTCACTTTTTTTTTAAAATCTAGATCTAGTCAATTGCCAGATATCATTGAATGTTATTTTAAATTTACATAAGATATCTCCATTTAAAATAAGCATTTTTTTCTGGAGTACCTGGCTGGCTCAGTTGGAAGAGCATGTAACTCTTAATCTCGGGGTCATGAGTTCGAGCCCCACATTGGGTGTAGAGATTACTAGAAAAATAATCTAAAAAAAATCGTAAAATAAGCATTTTTTTCCAACAGGATGGGTTTTCAAAAGGGTGGTTGGAGATAATGGTATTATTAGGGAATAATAATGCCAATAAGAAGTATTTATATTAGGTAGAATGTGAAAAGATAATCACACATAGCATGTTTGAGGGCATGATGCTTTGTTTATTGTAACAACGTTTTAGAAACATTAACACTGTAAAGAGAAAGCTAGATATAATCAGATCAGCTCTGTTTTTTTGTTTTTATAGCTGTGCATTTTAGCTCATTAGTAGAAATTTTCACAGTAAAGAATAACTTTTTAAATCTCAAATTCTAGCCCTTAATCTTTTCTAATTCAATTGAAATAACCATTTATCAGTTTACCCTGTTTCTCTGCATCACAAATCCAGTTTCAGGCATATCTTGAAACCCATTAGCATGTTAACAAGTTTTGTTAAAATTAATTCCTTTTTATAAATATACTTTCTTTATGTAGTTGTGACTTTTCAGGTATGTAAATGTTTTGCTTATTCACAAAATCAAAAAGGATGGGAAAAAATAAATCCTAAAATTGAATGGATATAAACAAATAACTGGTGCTGTTTATATCAAATTGATAGTATAACCACACAGAAAAAAAGAATTCAAGTAACTTTTACAGTCTTAGTAGGGGGATATTGTAAGAACAAATAAAACTAAAAATCCCTTGACTTAGGGTTTGTAATTGGTAGTGGTATTGGTGTTAATTTTGAAACTGTTTTGTATGTATTATAGGATAGGGCAAATGACTAATATAATGATGTTGTTGGGAAATGCTGTCCTTTCCGTGGAGAAGGGAGAAGGAAACATAGGAGTAAGGAAGAACCCCGTGGTGTTGAATGTGAATTGGAAGCGTGAATGTGAACTTTTTTAAAACTGGTTATTTCCTAACTCTGTTCATAGAAAGGACCTAGAAGCAATGATACCCTGTAGCAAAGAATATGTGTAGACCCAGTTCTTGGTTTCTATATACCATTCCCCACTAGAAGGAACATGGGCCCCTTGAGAAAAGAAGGGAAAACAGTGCTCTTTTTTTTTCTAAGTTTGTTTATTTAAGTAATCTCTGTACCCAACATGACGCTCAAGATCAAGAGTCACATGTTCTTCCGACCGAGCCAGCCACGTGCCCCAACAATGCTCTTTTTTAACAAAAAAGTCCCAACTAATAAATAGAAGGAATGGTAGATACAAATAATCACCATTTTTGTAATATCCAGTGTATTAATTAGCAAGGATTATCAGTGAATGCTAAAATCATTGGGTGAACAGTGTTGGACAGAATATTAATGGCCTTAAAATATCATCCCACATTTAATTAATTACAGAGGGGACGACATTGTGCCTTTATAATGGAGACCTCTCATGGTCACCATTTTAATCAAGTCTTGAAGTTTGGCATTGCCATAGTTAACTAATTAAATGTCTCCTAATGTGATGATATAGCAGTTGGTAAATCCAGATTTACCCTGTTAGCTATAACTGTTACAATCCTATTCTGAGGATTTAAATAAGGGGCAGTTGCAAATTATCCTTTGGAGACTCCTTTCACTAAATTGAGTAGTTGGCTAACATTATTACTGCGCTTACCTCGTACATTACTGGGCAGTTTGTATGACTGCACAGTATGTGTGAAGCATTTGAGTAGGGTCCAGCATATAGTGTTACATAGTAAATACTGCTTCTACCATTCTTCAGAGCCTGCTTTTCTAATCAGAGTATCTATTTCTTATATATGCTTTTATCTAATTTTGGTATTATTGGGAGTTGCTAGTTTACTGTTCTTTGGGTGTCACAAAGGTAGAGGGTTTTATTTGTATTTTCCATGTCAGTTGAGTAATTTTTGCAGTAGATGATTATTTTTCATTTGTTGATTTCCATATTGATAGGATAATTTGTGGAGTGACTAGAGAGCTATGTATAATATTCAGAAGTTGTTAAATGAGGAGGAGGAAGAAAATTACTGCACTGATTAAGGTGGTAGGTGATTTTTAGAAGAGGAGTTAACTCAGGTATGGTTTGTGTTAGCACAAATTAAGCCAGATTTTAATCTAAGCCTCTTGTTTTTGATCCCTAAGGCACTTGACCCTTGAGCAAATGTATTTGAACTGCACAGGTCCACTTACATGTGGGTTTTTTCCAATAAATACATTAGTAAATGTATTTTTTTCTACCATGTGATTTTTTTTTTTTTAAAGATACTTATTTGAGAGAGAGAGCGCATTTGTGAGCAGGGGGAGGGAGAGGAAAGGAGAATCTTGAGCAGATACAGGCCTCAGCCTCACGGCCCTGAGATCATGACCTGAGCCGAAACTAAGAGTAGGACACTTAACTGATTCAGCCACGCAGGTGCCCCTGAATGATTTCCTTAATAACATTTCCTTTTCTTTAGCTTACTTTATTGTAAGAATACAGTACAGTATTCTGACTTAAAAAGGAAGCTTAAATCAGGGAAGCTCTTGCTATTTGGGAAAATTTTTTTCCATTTTAATTTTTATGTTTATAGTCTCTTTACAGGTTTTTTTTTTTTACAATTTGTATCATGAAGATTAGTATCTGTAACATCTATAGGGCTTCCAAAACTAAGGACCTACAACCCAACAGAAAAAGAGGCAGGTGTTAGGAACTAACTTTGCCTTTTTCAGAAAGAAAGTAGTACAAATGTCCTTCAAATGTGGAAAATGCTTAAGTTTTGCTTATGATGAGATACACAAATTAAATCTGTACTGAGGCACCATTTCTCACTATCAATTTGGCAAAAGCCCAAAAGTTTAAGTGTGTATATATAGTATTTTTGCAAGATAGTGAGGAAACAGATACTCTCATACATTGAAAAGAATGATACACCAGACAGAATTAAAACACTATTTTTTTAAAGCTGATGCCAAAATAATTCTTAAGTGCAAAGATTAGGTCTTTATTGACTTTAATTTATGGATCCTTAGGAAAAATTAATGACCCCACAATAAAGGAAACAGCAAAACTGCCATGGCATGCTAAGTCTCATAATACCCTGTAGACAAGACTGAGAACTGTTGGCTGAATAGACAGACAAGTGGGTACATTTTAGCTGGTTAAACATAGTCAAGCCGTATTAGACAATGATTCTCTTAGTCTCCAGTATTTCATACAGATTAATTTTTAATGAAAATTTAGATCATTTTGATGAACATTTAGAAGGCAGGCTTATGAACTTTATAGTTAGCATAAAGCCAGTTGAGTATTTCATACATTGGGGCTGACAGACTAAGGATTGTTCAAGATCCACTTTGATAAAGTGTAAGGGAATTAAACATTCCAGTTAAAAGGCAGAGATCATCAAACTGAACTCAGGAAAATAACAAGACCTAACTATGTAATGTTTATAAGAAATACACTGAAAGAGGAGAAAAGAATAAAAAACAGCATGGCATACCATACAAATACTAATAACAAGAAAACCATGTTAGACAAATTAACAGCAGACAAAGAAACTTAAAGATCAGGGGTACTACCAGAGATAAGAAGGATTCTTCCTAATGATACAGAAGACAGTTCATCAGGAAGCTTTAATAATCCTAGATGGTAACTTTTATAAAATAGTGCACCCCAAAATTGTAGAATATAGATTCTTTTCATGTAAATATGGACCACTTAATGGGATAGATCAAATCCTAGGCCATAAAACAAGTTACGTTAAATTTAGGACTGAAATCATCCATGGTGTGTTCTCATAACCATAGGTTAAATAAGTATAACTTGAGGGGCGCCTGAGTGTCTCAGTCGTTAAGCGTCTGCCTTCAGCTCAGGTCAGGATCCCTGGGTCCTGGGATCGAGCCCTGCATTGGGCTCCCTGCTCGACCGGAAGCCTGCTTCTCCCTCTCCCACTCCCCCTGCTTGTGTTCCTGCTCTAGCTATCTCTCTCTCTCTGTCAAATAAATAAAATCTTAAAAAATAAATAAATATAACTTGAAAAATTCCAATAACTGGAAATTGAGCAAACTTATAAATCACTAATGAATCAAAGAAGAAAGCATAAGAGAAATTAGAAAATACTTTTTAGTGATCATAAAATGCAGCATATCAAAATTTGTGAGTGGAGCTTAGAGGAAATTTTACACCTTTAAAAAATTTTATACTTTCAAATGCATATATTAGAAAATAAGAATGTTTTAGAATTAGTGCCAGCTTAAGAAGCTAAGAAAAAAGGAAAGAAAATTAGCCCAAATGTAGTAGAAGGAGAAAAAATTAAAAGCATAAATCAATGAAATAGAAACAAGCCAAAATAACTTCATGGAATGAGCACTGGGTGTTATATGCAACTGACGAATCACTAAATTCTACCCCAGTGAATGGTAATATAGCATATGTTAACTAAATTGAATTTAAATAAAGAATTTTAAATAAATAAAGAAAAGCCAAAATATACATAACATCAACAAAGCCAGGCCCTAGCAAGACTGATGAAGGAAAAAAAGAAGACCCAAATTACCAGAGGAATGAAAGAGTAGATATCATTATAGATCCTTAAAGAATAGATCTTATGGACGAGTTTAAATCAACAAATTTGACATCTTAGATAAAATAGACAGATTCCTTAAAAAATACAGCTTTCCTAAACCCAAACAGGAGGAGATAAAAACATGATATCCTGGCTAACTAAGATACCGAAATCTAATGAGGTCATTACAAGAAAAGAAAATTGCAGCCCACCATCTCTGTGGACATGTATTTAAAAATCCTTAACAGAATATTAGCAGTGAAAGTCAGCAACTCATAAAAAGAATAGTACATAATGACAAAGTAAAGTTATTGCAGAAATGCAAAGTTGTTTTAACATTTGAAAATTATTAGTAATTTGCCACATTAACAGAATAAAGGAGAAAAACTAGAATCCCAAGAGACACAGAACAGGCATTTGATAAAAATTCAGCACCTACTTATTAACAACTGAGGAATGGGAGGCAATTTCCAAAATTTGATCAGTGAAATGAAAAGTTTACATACATAAAGGCAAGAAAGAAAGATACAAAGATTGAAAAGGAAGAACTAAAAATGTCTCTATTTGAAGGTGGCATGATTGTGTACTAGAAAATGCAAAAGAATATTCAAACCATTAGAATGAATAAGTGAATTTAGCATGGTAAGGGAATACATGGTAAATATACAAAATGAACTATATTTTTTATTCTAGAACAGATGGGTTGGCAAACTGTGGTCTGTGGACTGAATCCAGCCAGCCTCCTGTTTTGATAAAGTTTTATTGGAATACATGCACACCCATTTGTTATATGTTGTTTATGGCTGCTTTTACACTACATAGGCAGAGTTAAGTAGTTATAACGGAGACCATATGGCCTGAAAAGCCTAAATATTTATCATCTGGTCACTTGTAGTTGAAGTTTATTGACATGTGATCTAGAACAGATTGTTGAGAAGTGAAATGTAAAATGCACCACAGCTTGCAGTTAGCACCAGTAACATCAGATACCCAGGAAATAATACAACAGAAGATATTTGAAAATATCTACAACAGTGGTTCTCAGTGGAGGAGGGTTAATTTCATCTTCCTCCTGCAGGGGCATTTGGTAACGTATGGAGACCTTTAGGTTCTCACAACTGGGGGATACTACTAGTATGTGGAGAGTAGAGGCCAGGGTTGCTGCCTAACATCCTACGGTGCATAGGACAACTCCTCACAAAATGTCAGTAGTGCTGAAGCTGAGAAAACTGCTCTATAATGAAAACCACAAAATACTGCTGAGAGAAATTAAAGTTCTAAATAAATGGAGAGTTGATCCAGGCTCGTGGGTTGGAAAATTCAGTATTATTTTTAAGGTGATATTTTTCCCAAAATTGATTTACAGAGTAAACAGAATCCCAGTAGACATTTTAAAAATAGAAATTGCCTGGGTGACTCAGTCGGTTGGGCATCTGACTCTGGATTTTGGCTCAGGTCATGATCTCAGGGCTGTGAGATCAAGCCCCATGTTGGGCTCTGCGCCGGACACACAGCCTGCTTGGGATTCTCTCTCCCTCTGCCTCCCCACCCCCACTCCTGCTCTCTCTCAGACAGAAAGAGAGAGAGAGAAATTGACATGCTGATTCTAATATTTAGTGGAAATACAAAACCTAGAATAGCCAAAACAGTCTTGAAGAAAGGGGGCATCTGGGTGGCTCAGAGAGTTAAGCGTCCGATTCTTTTCTTTTTTTTTAAAGATTTTATTTCTTTATTTGACAGAGACATAGAGAGAACACAAGTAGGCAGAGCGGCAGGCAGAGGGAGAGGGAGAGACAGGCTCTCCGCTGAACAGGGAACCCGACATGGGGCTCGATCCCAGGGATCATGGGATCGTGACCTGGGCCGAAGGCAGACACTTAACCGACTGAGCCACCCAGGCGCCCCTAAGCGTCCGATTCTTGATCTCAGCTCAGGTCTTAATCTCAGGGCCATGAGTTCAAGCCCTGTGTTGGGCTCCATGCTGGGCATGGAACCTACTTTAAAAAAGAAGAAGAAAGTTTGAGGTTTGTATGTGGTTTCAAGATTTACTGTAAAGTTAGGGAAATCAGAACAGTGACTTAATGATACAAGGATAGACAAATATACCAGGAATAAAGAATAGAGAGTACAGAAATAGACCTACTTAAATACTAATTTAAAACAGATGCCAGTGCAGTTCAGTGGAGAGGGGAAAATCTCCTTAACCAATATGTATTTGGAAAAAATTAGCCTTGGCCCCTGCCTCACACCATATATGAAAAACAATTTGAGGGGTGCTTGGGTGGCGCAGTCGGTTAATCGTCTTACTCTTGGCTTTGGCTCAGGTCATGATCCTCAGGTTCATGAGATTGAGCCCGACCGCACATAGAGTGGAGTCTGCTTAAGATTCTCTCTCTCCCTCTTCCTCTGCCCCTCCCCTCTGCGCTCACGCTCGCTCTCAAATCTTTAAAAAAAAAAAATTTTTTTTTTTTTTTTTAGATAAACTGGTAGGCGAATTAGAGTAAAGAACTAGGTGTGGTACAACCAGGAACTCAGATACGAGATGGAGGAAACAAAGATACATAGAAGAGTTTGCTAACCAGAGGGCAAGCAGTGGGAGGTTAGAGGAGGTGAGGAAACAAAGCAGCATGCAGATAAGACTACGTATGATCAGAGTGGCTTATGTCTTGGTCATTGCCTGGAAATACTAGGGATAATGGGATGGATTTAACTTACCACAATCATTGAGAGCATTAGTCCCCACATTTCTGGTGATGTAGAAAGTTATGTTAGGCCTCTTCTGAACTGGCCAGGACTGTAGCCTGACCGGATTCCACCTCCAGGAGAGTCCCAGTGAATCTCATTATGAGATTCTGTGCTAGGTTCTGATGCCCTGTTTTAAAAGGGGTATGAATAACTAGGATTTATTAAATTGGAGGGGACAGTGTTAAAGACTGGGACGTGGGAAGGTAAGTAGTGGTTGAAGGAACTGGAGTTGCTTAGCTGGGAAATCAGAAGATTCCTAGAAGCGTGATCATGATCTTCAAATATTTAAGAGCAGACTGGTGAAAAGAAAGTGGTGAGAAAAGAAGTAGATAGGAGAGGGCCTGATAAACTGAGGTAAGTAATCTGAACTTTTTATCTTAACGGCAGTGGAAAGCCATAACAGGGTCCTTAGCACTGTGGTAATGTGGTTATATCTGTATTTCACAAGAGATCTTTCTGAATACCACCTTCAGATTGGATTTAGAGGTGGGGGAGGAAGGGCTACTGAGATAGTTCCTGCTGGAGAAAACCTACATAAATTAAATATTAAGTCAGAAGAGAACACAGCATAAGAAAAGTGAATGATCCATAAGGACTATAGAAATTTAGAGGAGATTGACATAACCTCATATAGCAAAGAATTTGGGCCCTTTCTAGGGATTTGTTGTTCATATTACCAGAACTTTTTGTGGTTGCTTTAGGCAAAATGCAGCCCCATGGTACTCATCCTGGAGGGAAGCATTAAAATGAACTGGAGTCCATTGGCTCCTTGGAAATGCTGGACAAGCTCTTCATAGACCTGTCTGCTAATTTGGCTGTTTGTGCAGATACTCGGTATTAAAATAATTACACCTTAATATTGGTGTAGAACGTACCATTTCTGCTACTTCTCTATCTGACGTCAGTCCTTGCTGTCCTATCTATGTAACTGCCTAGGACAGTATTGCTGTTAAAAAATCGTTTGCATCCAAGGATGCTGGAGTATATATTGGTTTGTTTTTTCCATATAGTGTAAAAGATTTCTCAAACTATTTTTGATGCACTTTGGTTAATTTCCAAGATTATTAATTTGCACACATGTTGCAGGGGGGAGGGGTGGCAAGTTATCATCATTAAAATGGTATATTACTTTATATAATTGAAAGGTTTAAATTAAAAAATATATATTTTTGTCATTTAAAAAAAAAATCTCTTAAAGCTGGAAGCTCTTTGACATCCTTTGGAACAGAAACATCAAACAGTGGTACCCTATCCCAAAGTACTGCAGTTGGTTCTGCCTTTACACAGGATACAAGATCGCTAAAAACACAGTTATCTCAAGGTAAGCTGTTTTTTCTTTCATATATTTCCATTCCTAACATCTTTAGTGGTTTTTGTCTTTCTCTTTGAATGTAAGGAGCTTTTGCAGCTTGGAAATCACATGTATACTTTCTATTTGGTCCTTTTAAGATTTTTCTCCTAAATCTTGGAGAGTTACTGTTGTGATAAATATATTATTGAATGACATCCACTATTTAGACTCTTTGCAGTTCTGAGATCATAAAACTGGGAACCAGTGAACATTCTCTAAGTTTGAAACTTTCTTGCAAGGCAATTATATGACTTGTATATAATATTTAAATATATCAAATTAGTCCCAGACTCACCATGGAAAATGAACTGTTCTTGATGAACTTGAAATAGCAGCTTAAAAGAACCAAACTATTCCTTACGCTATTGGATCTTTCCTAGCATCCTCGCAGGATCTAGAGCAGTGGTTCTTAGTGTGGACCACCCACAACCAGATCATGTGGAGTGCTTCTTAAAAATGTAGATCCTGACAATTGCTATATCAGAATCCTTGGAGTTTGGCAATGTGCATCATAATTAGCTTCTTAAAGGATCCTGTTTAGGGCGCCTGGGTGGCTCAGTCGTTAAGCGTCTGTCGGCTCAGGTCATGATCCCAGAGTCCTGGGATCGAGCCCCGCATTGGGCTCCCTGCTCAGCGGGAAGCCTGCTTCTCCCTCCCCCAGGCCCCCTGCTTGTGTTTCTGCTCTCGCTGTCTCTGTCAAATAAATAAATAAGACCTTTTAAAAAAAAAAAAAATCCTGTTTAATTTTTTTTTTAAGATTTTATTTATTTATTTATTGACGGAGAGAAAGCACAAGTAGGCAGAGAGGCAGGCAGAGGGAGAGGGAGAAGCAGCCTCTCCACTGAGCAGGGAGCCCGACTGCGCCCTGCTATATATATTTAATTTTTTTAAATCTATTTTTCTACCAGCCAGTTTTGTAATCTTCAGTGATCCCAAGAGTCTATATTTTTTTTTTTATCTGCAGCTGAAGTGGTTGTGTGTTTTTGTTTGTTTTTAATTCATTTGAGACACAGAGATAGAGAGAGAGCAGAGAGCACGAGCAGGGGAAGAGGCAGAGGGAGAGGGAGAAGCAGGCTCCCCGCTGAGCCAGGAGCCCAACGTGGGGCTCAATCCCAGGACCCCGGGATCATGACCCGAGCCGAAGGCAGACGCTCAACCAACTGAGCCACCCAGGCGCCCCTGAAGTGGTTGTTATTGGCTCGTTACTTTATATGGATGTTCACTTTTAAATAAAACAATGTAGTCATTTCAGAAGGATGCTATAATCATCACAGGATAATATTGTTTAAAGCTGTTGAGGGTAAAAACCAAGCTAATACTAAACATAATCCTATGTATCTCACTTTAGATGTTTTGAAATAGTTACTGTCATACTGATTTAAAATAGCTTAATTTTTAATTTTTTAACATTCTAAAGATGTGTTGTAGATGAATTAGAAAATATAGTAAGTATAAGGAAGAAAATAAAAATAAAAACACCCATAGTCCCACTATCCAGAAATAACAAATAATTACTTTTTGTTGTATACACGTCAGACTTTTTTCTAGGTTAATAGAAGTGTATATTTCTCTATAGCTCTTTTGGGTCTTTTTTCTTTTAAGAATTCTTTCTTACCCTGCAGGGAGCCTGCCTCTCCCTCTGCCTGCCACTCCCCCTGCTTGTGCTCTCTCTCTCTGTCAAATAAATAAATAAATTCTTAAAAAAAAAAAATTCTTTCTTACATAAAATTCTTCAGTAAAATTCTTCATCTTTTTAAGCATTAGTTTTCTAAACTATAAAATGGGACTTTAGGGGCAACTGGCTGGCTCATTTGGTGGAGCACATGACTTGATTTTGGGGTTGTGGATTTGAGCCCCATGTTGGGTTATAGAGATTACTTAAAAATAAAATCTTTATAGGGGCGCCTGGATGGCTCAGTCATTAAGTGTTTGCCTTCGGCTCTCGTCACAATCCCAGGGTTCTGGGATTGAGCCCTGCATCCGGCTCCCAGCTCAGCAGGAAGCCTCCTTCTCCCTCTCCTGCTCCCCCTGCTTGTGTTCCCTCTCTCGCTGTGTCTCTGTCAAATAAATAAAATCTTAAATAAAATAAAATCTTTATAAAAAATAAAATAAAGGGGCACCTGAGTGGCTCAGTTGGTTGAGTGGCCAACTCTCGGTTTTGGCTCAGGTCCTGATCTCATGGTGGTGGGATCAAGCCCCATAGTGGGCTCCATGCTGAGTGTGGAATCTGCTTCACATTCTCTCACCCTCTCCCCATCCCCTGCCCCACTCACGTTCACATTCTCTCTAAAGTAAATAAAACCTTAAAAAATAAACAAGAATAAAATAAAATGGGGCTCTATGGGTAAGTAACTTATTGTGAGAATTACATTTTTTAAAATGTATGCAGTGCCCTTAGCATACTGCAGATGTTATTTTAATCAATAGTGAACATTAACATTAATATTGAAGCACTTACTAAAATCATAAATAAGGATGCCTGTTATCTTTACTACTCAGCATAGTTCTGGAATTTTTAGCTAAATCAGGAACACATGAAATAAGCATAAATATTGGAATTGGTATTATTTGCCAGTGCAATTGAGAATTGCCAGTGAATTTAGAATTCACTGAAAAACCTAGAACTAAAGGACTGAAATTAGAGGTATTTAAATTCACACATATAAAAAGCAATAGTTGTTCTAAAACCTAACCCACTGATTATGTAATGGAGATAAAAGATGTCATAATAAGAAATAGAAATTAAATATAAAATACATAACAAATATGGTAAACTTCTGTAGAAAATACAAAATGTAGTAGAGGGACATAAAAGAAGTCAGAGGTAATCAGAGAAATAGATCTTATTCCTAGATATAAAGATTTAGTATTAGGAAGATCTTGTGTCTCATATTAATTAAATTTACTGCACTTTTAATCCACGTGGAATAGTAGGAGAACTTAATTAAAAAGATACACAGACAGTCCTAAAAATAAACATGGAAGTATAGTTAGACATCTTTTTCAAATAAAAGTAATGACATAGGGCTTACCTACTTGATAATAAAGTACACATAAAATAAAGCAGTGCAGGAATAAAAGAAATAGTTCCAAATATAAATAAGTGATTAATACATGATAAAGATATTCTTAAATTAGTAGAGGAAGGCTGGCTATCCAATAAGTGATATCAGGACAGACAACTGCCTGATCATTTGGGAAAAATAGATCTAGATTCCTTCCCTCATACTTTGGACTAAAATTTTAAATAGATTAAAATATTTTAAAATTTTTCAAGTACATATTATAAGAAAGAGGTATATTTATATAAAGCAGTAACGGAGAACGTCTGGGACTCTGCATTTAAGTTTCATCAATGAAAACTGAACTGAACAAAATTAAAATACCTAGAGTTTTCTTCGAACTGGTAAGAATGTGCAGATAAGTCAGGGGGTTGTGTTTTTGTTATGCCAAAACCAGCTTCTGGGTTTATTCCTAATGGTATGTCTAGCATTACCTATATTTCCCTGTGGATAACACAGCTGCCAATAAGACTAGGAGACTTCAGTCACAAAGGTTTTGAAAGTACACAGCAGGGGACACCTGGGTGGCTCAGTTGGTTAAATGTCTGCCTTCGGCTCAGGTCGTGACCCCAGGGTCCTGGGATCGAGTCCCACATCGGGCTCCTTGCTCAGCAGGGAGCCCGCTTCTCCCTCTCCCTGCCGCTACCCCGGCTTGTACGCACACTTTCTCTCTCCTCTGATAAATAAAATCTTAAAAAAAAGAAAGAAAGTACACATCAGATGAGCCCTTGCTTGCTGTGATCGCCCCATCACTTGTGGTTCTGCAACACTTGTGGGTCACAGGATTCTTTTCTCAAAAGCCTCAATGAGACAAATTTTAGAAATTTATAAGATCGGAACGCCTGGGTGGCTCAGTCGGTTAAGTGTCTGCCTTTGACTCAGGTCATGACCCCAGGGTCCTGGGATCAAGCCTCCTTTCGGGCTCCCTGCTCAGCGGGGAGTCTGCTTGTCCCTCTCCCTCTGCCCCTCCCTGCTGCTCGTGCTCTCCCTGATAAATAAAATCTTTTTTTAAAAAAAGAAAGAAAAATTTATAAGATCATTTAATGTAATATTATAAAATTGAACAATAGGCTTTTCAAAAAACTTAGCACTTGTTCTATAAGTAAATCCCTGTACAAGGTGATAAATGATCACAAAATGTTTTCTCTTAGGCCATAACTTCTACAAACCACCATGATTCCCATTATAATCAGGGAACATTGCACTGTTTCTCTTAATGGTAGAGTAAACTTTGGCATTAATGGCTGGAAATGGTGATACACATTTTTATTACGTACTTTAGATAACTATAAACATGGGAAAATTACTAATAGACGGTCCCTGAAGCATCTGGTGCCTAATAACCAATGCATTGTCAGCACTCACCAGTTCACCAGTGGTCGGAGCCTGTGCAGCTATGCACTGGTGGGGAGTAACATTTGCAGCATACTTGGAATTTTTTTACTTGAAATGAGCATAATTTTCTTAAGCAAAACATATCCCATGCAATATCATGAGATATGAGAGCCCCTTGAGAAGAAATTTACAGCATACGTAGAGACAAAACATGATGGGAGCATCCGGTATTCTATTCTTCTGTCCATACTGTGACCAGGCTCTGAACTCATAAAAGGAAAAACGGAATTTGTAAGTGCACAACTCATATTAAGCAAAAGCTTCCAAAAGATCTTTCAAATGGCCAGAAATGAATATGGGGCTACTCTGTTATTATCTGAAGGGTGTATTTGTTGCTGGCCTTTGAGTATTGACATATAATTTCCCAAGCCCGTAGGATATTGAAGGACTTCACCTGTCTAACTTTCTAGTTCTTTACTTCCTTTATAATGGAAATGTATGGAGATAATACCTATAAATATAAAAAGTACTACTTTGGACATATCTTCAGAAAGTACTAAAAATTTTAGGTTACAGCCTCTGGAAATAATGTCTAAAGTGTCAATATAATCTTGTGGTTGTCATTATTGGGGAAAGCCTGCATCCTACCTGCTTACAACATGATCTTTGATAATATTCCTGGGAAGTCTTGCCCAGGCAGCAATTTTTTAAAAACTTACTTAAATCTTATTCCACCAAGTAGAAATACAGAAAAAGTTCGGTTGGTTGGTTGGTTGGTTGGTTGGTTGGGGGTTTTGGGGGTTTTTTCAATGTTTCTTTCCTAGCCTAGTGACCCAGCCCACTAAAGATAACCAGTTTTAAACTCTGGTCTACTAAGTAGATGAATTCAGATTTGTGCTAAGGATTTAAATTGGTAGAAATAAAACCGTAGACCTTTTCTTTGAGGGTCTAGATTATTTTGAAATCCCCAGAGGATAGGGTAGTTTCTTATCTTTTGGTTACGTTTTAGGTCGTTCAAGCCCTCAGTTAGACCCTTTGAGAAAAAGCCCAACCATGGAACAAGCAGTACAGACCGCCTCGGCCCACTTACCTGCTCCAGCACCTGTTGGGAGAAGGAGCCCTGTATCAACCAGGCCTTTACCATCTACCAGCCAAAAAGCAATAGAGAATCAAGAGCACAGGCGAGGTAGAACTTTAGCTATTTACTATTCGTTAATTGACTGATCAACATTTTCCATTCACCTTATTTTTTATTAAAAAGATTTACTGTATATGAATGATCCTAGAAGGTTTAAACTGAACTTGATAGAATGTTCAGTCTTTCAAACTTGACTCAAAAGTAGTGATTGTGGTGGGGGTATAGATTTTTTGCTTTTGTTTTGGGTTCCTTTGTTTTTCCCATTTTGAACTTTACAGAAGTTTTTGATTTTGTGTCCTGAGCTCATTCCTGATTTTGTATATCTTTTATAGCTGAAGTACACAAAGTTTCAAGACCAGAAAATGAGCAACTCAGAAATGATAGCAAGAGACAAATAGGTAAGTTACTTGAATCTGAAAGCCATATTCTGGGCTTCTCAATTAAAAAGAACATTTGTTGCATAATTACTATTAAAAAGTGAAAGCCTGCAGGGCACCTGGGTGACTTAGTGGGTTGAGCATCCAACTCTTGATTTTGGCTCAGGTCATGATCTTGTGGGTTGTGGGATCAAGCCCCATGTTGGGCTCTGCGCTCAGCAGGGAGTCTGCTTAAGATTCTCTCTCTCTCAAATAAATAAATCTTTAAAAAAAAAAAAAAAAGCCTGGGGTTGGTGACTATAAAGGACTAGCACTGGGGAGTTCATTGTGGTAACAGAACATTTCTTTATCTTGATTATGGTAGTAGTTGTACAGATGTATACATACAGCAAAATGTTACAGAACTATATATAAAGATACACTAGAAAATAAGTACCTGCAAAAACTGTTGAAATCTGAGTGAGGCTTATAGTGTAATTATATTGTGCCAGTGTCAATTTCCTGGTTTTGGTAATGTACAGGAGTTAAAATAAGATACTACCGTTAGAGGGGAAGCTAGATAATGGGCGTATAGGACCACTCTGTACTACTTTTTTTTTTTTTTTTCAATTTTTTTGTCTCTAAATGTTTTAAAAGTTTTTTTTAAAAAATCACTATTATATTTCTGGAATAAACTCCACTCAATGGGAGGCAGTTGTCTTTCAGTATATTGAATTTATCTGCCATTAAGATTTATACACTTATATTTACATTGTTGTGTGGTTTCCTCTTTAGTACTGTCTTGTATTTTTTTACGTTTTTATGTCAGTTTCTGGTTAACATTATAAAATTTTTATTGTTTTCTGAGCTTTTAAGAGTGGCTGTACCTCGACGGTTTGAGGTTTTCTCATTATAATTATTTAAGCCCTTTTTTTTTCCTTTAAGTAATTGTTCAAGAACTTTAATTTTCTTTCATGGTTATTAAATTAATAAGACTGTACCTTTGTGTTTTGTAATCTATAATGTTTATCCCCAGATTCATTTATTTTATCAATACTTTCAAATATATTACCAGAGAATGAATTTATGATTTTAAATGTCCAAATTAAAAAAATAAAGGCAAGATGTAATCACCTTATTTAGATAATAGAAAATGATCTTTCACTTAATTTCAGAAAATGTATACTGAATTTCTCCTGTTACATTGCTGTATGTGCTGTGTGCCGTGGAATTCAGGGGTTTTGATTTGATTTGCTATATTTCACTTTTTTTTATTTTGGAAAAGAGAACTTCTCTCTCAAGGTAATTGCCATACTACCATCATTTAAAAATCACATAAAGTAATAAATAAAAGTACCTTTCAGTGCGCTTCAAAATTCATCCCCCAAAGGTTCATTAACAGAACGGTGACTATTCTTTCAGACTTTTTTTCTTAACAATTTTATAAACATTGACTATACTTAAACTTTTTTTTTTTTTTTTAAGACGGAAAGATTGTGCTATATTTACTTCCTGGCTTGTGGCCAAGGTGTTTTTAATAGTGAAGTTGAATGTTTTAAACATCCTGCTTATCTAGATTTAAGTGTCTGGATATGCTGCTGTAGGTTTTTGTGGTTTGTTTTTTCAGACGTGGGCAATTTGCAGAACTTCAGCCAACACTGAACATAACCTGTTTCTGTGCAGTCACTTTCTGATCTTTGTCACTATGTATTAAACATTTCACATAATTATCATTGAATTCATACTCGTTTGTGCTCTGTTTCTGTTAACTCACATGAACTACTGTTCCATATTCCTCTTTTATTTTTTTCTTAACTCTTCCTCTTGTGTTGGATATTTGGGTTCTCAAGTTTTTACTGTAATTTATGTTATTTTGCTATTGCTTTATCATACTTCATAAATCCTTTTAGCACAGTAAAAGAAGTAGATACAGGAAGACTTGAATAATATGAAGCCATTTAGAGGGAGACAAGAAAGGTGAAAGGAAGTGGTTGGAGTAGTTGAGACATGGTGGTGCTTTTTGTTATCTGTGTTATTTGTGCTTATTAGTGTTCATTTATTTTCTTATTATAAATCTTGGTTCCTATGATACTTTCATAGAAGACTTCCTAAATTTTGAGAACCCACTACATGTTTGGCACTTTGTAGGAATTAGAACTATAAGCAGAGCAGAGCCCCTCCCTCAAGGAGTATGACAGTAATTTACTATAGAAGTTTTCAGAACAGTTTGGTTGTGCACTCTGTGAAAAACATGTATGAGTTTGGACCCCATAAGTATAAATTTCATGTGTGCTGTTCTCAGTTCACTATGTGTTAGGTTAGTGAAATCTCATTTCTTTTTTAATTTTTTTTTTTTTAAGGATTTGTTTGTTTTAGAGAGAGAGAAAGAGTGTGTGTGTGTGTGTGAGTGAGTGAGTGAGTGGAGGGAGGGACAGGGAGAAGATCTTAAAGCAGACTCTCACAACCCATGAGATCATGACCTGAGCCAAAACCAAGAGTCAAGCACTTAATCGACTGAGCCTCCCAGGCATCCCAATTTATTTTTATAAAAACTACAAATATAGTAATGTGTATAGAGACTTTTAAGAAGCATTTTTGTTGTTGCCCATTTAATAAAGACCATAGTAGTAGCTTCTGTCTTAAACCAGCTTATTCTTCCTTTATTGACATAGTTCCAGGTGCTCCTTCAGCTCCAAGGAGAGGGCGTGGGGGTCATCGAGGTGGCAGGGGACGATTTGGTATTCGACGAGATGGTCCAATGAAATTTGAGAAAGACTTTGACTTTGAAAGTGCAAATGCACAATTTAACAAGGAGGAAATAGACAGAGAATTTCATAATAAACTTAAATTGAAAGGTGAGTTTATTTTTCTATTCAGAAAATGTTATTTGGCTTGTGAATTGTGGATGTTTAATAAAAGTCTTGACTTTCTGGTATGTGCTTGTTTTTCATTAGAGGATAAACTTGAGAAACAGGAGAAGCCTGTAAATGGTGAAGATAAAGGAGACTCAGGAGTTGATACCCAAAACAGTGAAGGAAATGCAGATGAAGAAGATCCACTTGGCCCTAATTGCTATTATGACAAAACCAAATCCTTCTTTGATAATATTTCTTGTGATGATAATAGGTACAGTCTTTTAAGCTTCTCTTATGCTCTTGGGAGGTTGAAGTATGAAATGATTTCCTATAAATTGACAAAGTTTAATGAATACTTAAAAATATCTAAGGACTACAATTTTTTAATGTTTTATTTTGCTAAAAGAAAATAATCCATACTAAAATTTTCAGTAACATTACTCCTTATGAAGAAGAAATAACCATATACTTTTGTTTAGGGATGCATTGACATTTGAAAATTATTAATTAAAACAAAAGCATTCATCTGACATCTAAGTAAGACCTTTTACTTTACTCCTCTACAGTGTAGTTCAAATGAAGTCATGGCCAAAAAATGCTAATGTTACTTTGAAGTTTGCTGATATAGTAAAACTTTGCCATATCGCAGCAAATGTGGATCCAGAAAATTGTCAGGTTAATTAAAGGATCCAGCATAACAGGAGTTCTAGAGTTTCTGCTAACCCATTCCAAATTTTCCTTCTCCTCTCTGTAGTTTGGTGCCACCTGGTGGCAGTTGTCTACTTCAGCGTAAATATGGAGGGGGATGATCTGATCTGTGTCCTGCTGTAGGACTGGGCTGTGGGACAACAGCAGTAGCAATTTAAACACTTGCTTCTGACATCAGGTCCAGGGATTGGGCTAGGAGCATACTAGGACCTTACTTTCCTAGCATACTAGGACTTACTTTCCTTCTCCCAGCTTCCTGAGACAGAGTTCCCTTTCCTGGCTTTGCGCTCTCTCACATTGGGGCTGAGGGGAGAAGTAGTCAGTTGCCAGTCCTACTATATTTGAATTCCCATTATATTGGGGGCTGTTACAATGTTTGTTTCATCAACTGTATTTGAAAGAAACTAACACCAGTCATATTTTCACATGAAGTTTAATAGAATATTACGGGAACATACTGCCATGGACAGTTTGTGATGACTCAGATAAGGTGCTTATTTTTATTTGATCTTTAGGATTTATTTATCCTTAACTTGGGAATTAGTGCCACATTGTTTTGCTGGAAAATGTTTTTAAACCCGATACACTAGAGATGATTTGTTCTTAAAACAGAGAACGGAGACCAACCTGGGCTGAAGAAAGAAGATTAAATGCCGAAACATTTGGAATCCCACTTCGTCCAAACCGTGGCCGTGGCGGGTACAGAGGCAGAGGAGGTCTTGGTTTCCGTGGTGGCCGAGGGCGTGGTGGTGGCAGAGGTGGTACCTTCACCACCCCTCGAGGATTTCGTGGTGGATTCAGAGGAGGTCGTGGGGGCAGGGAGTTTGCAGATTTTGAATACAGGGTAAGTATCATATGCTTTGGGGTTGGCATGCAGTTTTATGAAATTCAAAATGGTTTTATTTTGAGTGAATATTTTTAAGACATTTGTATAACTTCCAATTTGACTGTTTAATGGGGGATTAGGTTGTTTATGTAATTTTAGGGAGCAGTAACTTCTTGGCTGATGAGTCCAAAGTTTTTAACTGTTTTCAATTGGAGGAAGTAAGAGATAGAAATGAGATTGGGGTGGGAGGGGTCTTTTTTATTGTAGAACCATGGTTTTAGATTTCATGGACTAGTAAAATTTCCCCCAAAAATGTATTAGAAATTGATTTAGGGTGTTTTTTTTCTTTCTTCCTTTTTTTTTTTTTTTTTTTTGAGGTATGGGGGATTACTAAAGTGTTTATACCAAAAAAGACTATATCATATTACCTTTATTTTATATTACAAAGTGTGTTTTAACACCAAAAGAGTCTAGGAAGGATATATTCCGGAATGGAAAGCATCCATAGCAGCCAACATTTATATAGTACTTTGCATGTATTAGGCATTGTTCTAAATGTTTTTCACATACTAACTCACTTAAGTCTCATGTAAGTCTATAAGATAGTTCTGTTCTTATCACCATTTTACAGAAGAAGAAATAGGTATAGAGATACTAAATACCTTGTCCAACGTCAGCTAGTAAGTGATGCTGCAGGGTCATGAGCCTAGTAAGTTTGTTCCTGAGTCAGTGCTCTTAATTTACGTTTATGGAAAATTCAACTGCATTTTCCCTGGTTTTCTTATTTTACCTTGGTCTTGAAAATATTGTGATATATTGGCATTTGAGAACTGCTGCTAGAAAACTATGTATAGTTTGTATATATGTGTAGTTAATTTATTGCAAGGAGTCTGTAGATGACGTCAGTGTCACTCTCCTAGTTTATTGATTTTTAGGTTCAGTAGAGAGGAAAGTTATATAATCACAGAAAGGATCAAAATCCCCTTGTAAAGAGATCTACTAGAATTACAAAGGGCAGCTGGAAACAAAAAGACCTGCTGGCAGGAATTTTATTGTCCATTATTTGAAACTGGCCATTGTTGAGATCCCTCTTGAAGGATCGATGTTAGTGGCTTTGGGGTCTAGTCTGTTAATTCTGACACCTCTGATACTGTATCATCCATCCAAGACTACTGGAAATTAGCCTCAAGTCATTAGCTCAGGCTCTTCAGCCGTCGTGGCCTGGTGCAGCAGCTGCAGGACATGTAACTTGCAAAATTGCCATTCTAGCTGGGAGATCCCATTGCTTGTCACTATTATTGTTCTTACTACGGCCCTTGCCAGTGGCCTTTTGCTTATAGAATTCAAATATTTGCCCTTAACCCCTCTGAAGTATTTGACACTGATAACTGCCCACCCAACTTGGAATCTTTCTTCCTGGTTTTTTAAAAATACTGTTATTTGGGGTGTTTTTGTTTTGTTTTGTTTTTCTTTTTAAAAATGACACCATGGGGGCACCTGGGTGGCTCAGTCATTAAGTGTCTGCCTTCAGCTCAGGTCCCAGGGTCCTGGGATCGAGCCCCTCATCGGGCTCCCTGCTCAGCGGGAAGCCTGCTTCTCCCTCTCCCACTCCCCCTGCTTGTGTTCCTGCTCTCGCGGTGTGTCTCTCTCTCAAATAAATAAATAAAATCTATAAATAAAGAAAGAAAGAAAGAGAGAGAGAGAGAGAGAGAAAGAGAGAAAGAGAGAGAGAGAAAGAAAGAAAGAAAAAGAAAGAAAGAAAGAAAAGAAAGAAAGACACCATGTTCCAGGGCACCTGGCTGGCTCAGTTGGTAGAGTATGATGTGACTTGATCTTGGGGTTGTGACTTTGAGCCCCATGTTGGGTGTAGAGATTACTTAAAAATAAAATCTTTTTTTATATATAAAATCTTTAAAAATAATAATAATAACACATGTTCCTCAACACAGCCTGTAAACACTTCATGATCTATTTCTCCAGTTCAGAAGTCTTGTACTGGCTCTTGTCCTTGTTGCCATTGGGACTCCCCTTTTCTTTTTTCAGTCTGCTGCAGATATGTGGACCACCTTCTTGCTCTTGTTCAGTGCCAAGCTTGTTGTTATCTGAGGACCTTTTCACCCATTCCTTCTACCTAGAATGTTCGGTTTGCTCCTTAAAAGCTTTCATGCTCAGGGTGCCTGGGTGGCTTAGTCAGTTAAGCATCTGCCTTAGGCTCTGGTCATGACCCCAGAGTCCACGGGATCAAGTCCTGCATTGGGCTCCTCACTCTGTGGGGAGTCGGCTTCTCCCTCTGACCCTCCCGCCCCAAATAAATAAATAAAATCTCTTAAAAATAAATAAAAGCTTTCGTGCTGATGTTTGCGCTTGCTCTTCTTCCCCCTTCTTTCTTGTCCCTACCTCTCTCCCCTCCCCTTTCTTTCCTCCTCCCTTTTGTGAGCTTGTTGATACGTAGCTTTTAATCAGTTTTCAGCTTGGACCTTGTGTGCTTCCACCTGCATTTCTCCATCTTTATCTGCTTTATGTCCTTTGACTAACTTAAACTTGACCTTCTTCAAAATGACCTTACCATCTTCTTGCCTTCCCACCACCCCAGCATCCACACTGTCTAACAGTGTGGCATAGCCCCTTTCCACATTACCACATTTGTTCCTATTCGATGTCCCTGCCCACTACCATAATAACCCACTGATTGGTCTGCAGACGTTCAGGCTCTTTACCTCACTTCAGGCATATCAGCTACCTGTTGAAGAACCTGTGACAGCTCCTTGTTGAAAACCACATTGACTCAACTTGGCTTGAGAAAAAGTACATTTAAATTAAACTTGGATCCTGATGAGAATTCTAGTGATTGTTGCTAGTGTGACTTCAGTTGAGTTGTTAAACCTTTCAGGCCCTCAGTTTTTACGTTTTTGGAAACAGTTACACTTTTATCAAATACACATTTTCAAGATCATTAAAGCCTCAGAGTTGGGAAGCATCTGAGAGGTCTGAGCTGCTGGCCAAGCCGTGAGTTCTGATGTATCCCTTATAGGGGCTGGCAGCTTACTTTTACTAAGAGCATCCATCCCACCCCAGGGATGGTCCAATTAGTAGGATTTCACAGTGTGGGTGAAGATCTTTTCCCCTGTATCTTCACTCTTGGTTTAACTCTACCCTTGTAAACACACAGAATATACATACTCCTCTTCATGATAATTCCGCAGATATTTGACAAAACCGCGGTCATGTTGTCTACAAGATTGGACTGTTATTTCCCATTATCTGACAGTCATCAGTAAACCTTTGACTAACTGCCGAGTGCATGGTACATGCATTTATTTTTTAATTCAGACTTTCTGAAGCTCTCACTGTTCAGTCATTTTGAGCCTCCAGTGAAAACCCCTATGCCACACATTGCAGAATTAGAATGCATTGTAGAGGTTGTCTGGATGAGTCTTTCCCCACATTAGTGTATCCTTGACAGGGAGTCCAGCCTCTGCTTGGGTGTTTCAAGGCGTCATAGATTGACTGGGCCCTAGATATTGCCCTGGTGGTAAGAAGGTTCTAATGTGACATTGTACTGCCTGCTCTTCTTACTCTGTGCAGATCCCACTGCTATTTCCAGCCGCATTTCTCATTGCCCTTTAAGCTGTCTGGTTCAAGCAAATTGACTCATGGTCAATGCTTATATGCACTGTCCTTGATTCCGACTTTGACCTCATTTGTTGACCAAACATATTGCATTCTTCATATATGGCAAGCACTGTGCTGGATATTAGTGGTAAGCAAAACGGATGCAGTCCCAGCCTTCTTGGTGTTTTAGTCCAGTGGAGAGATAGACATAGCTAAAAGTCAAGGGGTTCCCTTTCACACCCTTCACAGTCTTGTCCAAGGTTTGCTCTGTCCTTGGAAACTTCTCTTCTTTCCTGCACTGATTTCTTCTTTTTCTGACTCCTATGGTATCTGCTTTCATCAGCACACATTTTAAATACACTCATGTTCCGTATTTCATGTGTTTTGTTCTGCATTTCCAGCTAGATATGAGCCTTTTGGCATTAGTGAACGTGTATTTTACTTTCATTTCGTCCAGTGGACATGGAACCATAGTGGGCTTGAAGTAAGTGCTCAGCATGTTGATTAGGAATACACTACTTCAGCCTTCAGTAAGGCAGAAGGTCCATCAGTGTGGCTAGTCCTTCATTGTCCATTCCAAAGTTAAATGACCCTGAAGTCTGGCACTAGAGCCCTGACCTTCTCCGCATTCTACGTCTTCTAAATCATATCACCTGGCAGGCACCTTTAAAGGCGGAAAGAGTGAGTGATCACTATTACATGAAGGAAATTTACCTTCAAGGATTAAACTCCCTTCTAAACCTGCATCTAATATTTCTTAGAGAAATGGAGGTCATTGGCATTTACAGCAGCCTTCATGTAATGGGTTGGCTTTCTTCTTTGTGTTCTGTTGGCATGAATCATTAGTTTTGAGGTGAGCATAAGCAAGTCTGGTTGTTTAATGAAAACGTGGGCAAAGCAGGATTATAGATTTTTAGAACTCCTCAAAAATACCAGCTGAACTATAAACTCTCTCTCACCCTACCCCCAATAGATCGGAAACCAAGGACCCAGAGAAGTTAACTCTCTTGATCTGGGTACAAGCTAGTAAAGCCAAAACTTAGTCTCTTTGACTTCTAGCCCAGTTTTCCTTAAGGATAATGTTAGAAAAATAAACTTGTGTTAAGCTTGGTCCTGTGGCGCTTTGTGGGGTTGGGGGATGAGGAGATCAGTTTGGGTTTGTAATAAGAGTATAGTCAGCTCCTATTTTATATGCTGCTGCTAAGGAGGTTAAATAAAACAGCATGGTAGGTGAGACAGACTGCCTTCTGTTTGAGTCTGTTTCTTCAGATAGGGTCCAGAAACAAAGAGGTAACTGAAATGACTCAGCATGGTACTCTCTCTCCCTCCCCCCCTTTATTTTCTCCTCTCTTTCCCTCTACTTCTCTGTATCCCTCTCCCCCTCCCTTCTCTCTCCCTTTCTTTCTTGCTTTCTTTTTTTTACCTTTCAGAAAACCACAGCTTTTGGACCCTAAAGTAGGTCTGGATTGATCATACAACTTTCTGAAAGGTAAAAAAAAAAAAATGGGGCATGTGAAGGTTGGCTTTGGTGGGGGACTGTGGGGTGGGATTATCTTCAGTTGATTTCTTTCTGCACCAATTCACACCGTGCCATATGTATCCAATTTAATGGCATTGTACAAATGGTTTGGTGCTGTATACACAGATAAAGTTAAGTCTTAACATGGGAAATAATGTATTTATAACAGTGAGGATGAGAATCAGCAGTAAAAATCAGGTATGTGATAACAACTAGTCCTGAGGAAAACAGTAGCCCCTGGCTCTGGTGTTATGTACAGGACTTTTGATTAGGTTTAGTCTCACTGGAAAGCTAGAGACTCCTTGAGATTTTTGTTTTTTCCCTGGTTACTTTTTAAAAATTACTACCCAGTCAACTCTGATTTTCAGAACTTATTTTTTAATTTAAAAGTTATCCTTCTAAAATGAATTTCTAAATCATTGCTTTCTCCTGGCATGAAACTTTGGAGAGAAATGTTATTTTACTGTCTGGATATTTTATTGCTTAGTAAAAACATCAAAGACTTCAGGATTTTATTAATCCTTTTCCAGGGTATGTTGTCAGTTGTAGTTGATGAACTTGACTGCTAAGTTGAAGGTTTAAATCATTGTGTTCAAAAATTACTAAGATGCAACCAAAGATAGTGAGGTATGCTTGTATCTTAGGGGCCTTCTTGCTGGAACCAGCCCACACCACATCACCACTGCTGTAACCTCTAGTAACTGGGAAATGCAGTTAACAATAATGAGCTACTGCTGAGGGTGGAAAGTCAAAATGTTTCCTGGAAATTAGTGAAATGGATTTATACATGAAAGGAAAAGGAGGGTATATTTGAAAGTAATGGGAAATATACTTAAGTAAATTAGAAGTACTTATTAATAAACTGATCATTTGAAACATGAGCTAATTTTTTTTTTCCTCTTTAGAAAGACAACAAAGTTGCTGCATAGTCTACAAACAAGTCTTTGAAAATAGGTGAATTTCTAGCTCTTCATGGTCCTGAGAATTGGTTTCAGTCTTTTGAGAAGAATGAAGAAGTGAATTTGCTGTATATTTGTCACCAGCACTGGGTTTTTGTTTGTTTGTTTGTTTGTTTTTCTGCTTAATTTCAAAGATAAAATGCAGTTACTTTTGGGGGGGGAGGCTCATCTTAAAAAATGAGCATTAAATATATTTGGAATAGCAGAAGGTTAAGTAATTTCTTATGTATAGTTAAGCTACAGCAGTACTTCAATGGGACTTATAAGTATTTTTTCATCACTGAAAGGATTTTTCTTATCACTAAATTGTATTTGGCAATTATTGTAAGTTGCCTGCAGATAGGGCCGTGATACTGTGTTTTGAGCCACAGAAGGTTGTGTGTGTGCGTGCGTGCGTGCGTGCGTGTGTGTCTGTTTCTTTCTTTCTTTCTTTCTTTTTGGAAATCCTGTAATATCCCCTTTGAAGTAGCTTATTTGGTCAATTAATTAGGGTGCTGGATGGTAGAGAATTTTGTCAGTCAACTATGTACACACAGTAAATACTGTTTCTTAGGCAAAGGTAACTTTTTTATATAGTTGTAAAATTCCATTATATTCCATTGCCAAAGAAACATTAAGAACTTTGTATAGCTGTATAAAAAGCAACTAATTTTTTAAAGAATAAACATTTTAAAGTCAGCAAACATACTGTGTCCTTGCAGAAGTTGATGTGCTGAGGAGCAGAGCTGTGGGTGGTGGGTCTTTTTTCATAGCTTTCCAGGCTTGAGATTTTTGATTTTGATTTTTTTTTTAATGTTTGGAACATAAATGAAGATTTGATACATTCTTCCATTATCTAAAAAGGATAAATTACTCATACTCATTGTAAGAGCTTCATTTTGTAACAAATGGCATATCACAGGATTTGTCCAAATAACAAATATTTTCAGTATATGAATGTAAATAATCATAGATAAGAATATACTTAGCTGTATTTTCAAATAAGCACCCTCCCCTTTTTTAAGATAATAAAACTGGGCATCGATTAACCCGTTCTTCCTGATATGCCTGGAATTTTGTCGTGATACCTTGATTCATTCCATTATATTTCAAGAGGATTCAGAGTGCTAGAAATTATTTTGGCAACCTATAAGATATCCTAACACTGGTCCTTGGGCCCATGGCCCACAAATGACTCGGTAATAGAGTTCATTGCTAATTATAAATCACTAGTAAATCTTTTTGATATTTTAAGCTAGAGTGGAAAAAAAAAATCTGGCCACTTTTGTGTTTTTATGAAGGCCATGGAATAAAGGGATCCAAAGATTTAAATATTTTTATCTATTTTGATTTTTGTTAACTTTCTCCTTAAAGTATTCAATAGTGATAAAGATGTGGAAAACTGCACTGTAGGAGAATTGGAATATTTAAAGATGGTTGATATTTTTAATTTTAATTTTATATCTTTTGTATAGCTCTACAAGGAAATGTTTTGTAATTTGGTTTCGTTTAAGGTCCAGTACTTGGCAGCCGTAGTTTAGATAATGTTGCTTAATACTGTTTGCTTGCATGTTAACAACAAAACCTTTTGGAGGACCCACAAATCATGATATTGAACACATTTCCGAAGCATTCTGAACATCAAAGCAAGTGCTATGATAATTCCTATGTAGACTGTTTGAGATGTCCCGGGCCAGTTTCAAGAAAAGCTGTAAATACCAGTTCTACATGCTCTGGAAGTATGAATTCACGTGTTTTTCAAGCCCTCTGGGTCACTGACTAAGGCATTTGGTGCCCCAATAATAACTGGCAGCATGGCATACCTGCAGTGCACCTTACAATATTAAAGCAAGGTTTTTATTCTAAGACAGAATAAAACTGTTAAATAAAAAATGTTCGTCAAAGTTCTTTCTCTTTAAATAGTAGTATCATCTTACCATAGAAAGAAACATAATGAAAGTATAGGAATGGAATTACGGTTATGTTTATATTCCCTAAAATAACTAATTTCTAACATTTTTCCTAAGATTTATTTATTGTTGTAGGTGCTTAGGAAACTGGGAACCCCTTTGTCCCCACTGGGGTGCTTTGCAGTCCACATCTTGAGACTGAGCCAGCCATGCACAGGCCAAGCTGGAAGCCTCAGGCTAAAATGCTCCCTCTGTGGGCAGGCAGGTGTGAAAGAGGAGAGAGGGAAGGGCTGACTCCTAACTTCATTTGTTGGATTAGACCATGTCTTCCCCTGAAAAAGCAGGACTTAGCAGGGGGTAGGGAGAGGGGTCAGGAATGTTAATCCAGCTCAATGGCTCTTAATCAGGGTTTGAACTGACATCCCAAGAGCATTTAGGAGTATGAGGGGATGTGTGTTGGTTGTCACAGTGACTAAGAACCACCACTGGCATTTAAGAGTAAGGGCCAGGGTGGCAAAATCGTACACTATGCTCGATGGTGCCACATCATCAGTTATCCAGCCCAAAGTACAACGGTGGCCCTTCCAATTTGAGAAATACTGGCTGAGGTTCCTCTAGAAGAAAAGACAATGAATGGGGAATTAATTCTTTCCCTCCCCCAAAATCTTTAAAAACATTTACTGAAGAAATTGTCTACATGGAATATGAAAGGACAAGGTATAAAGGGACCTTCCGGTGGCACAGTCAGTGTTTTGGAAAGCCATTATCACAGGAATTACCACTTCATCCCAGTCTCTCTCAAGAAATGGTTCACAAATCTCTTCTCCAGATCTGCTCAGGAGCATTTGTAAAGTACAGATTCCCATACCCCACACCTTGAGTCAAGAGTCTGAAGTTCTGTAGAGGAGCCCATAGGTAGTTCTGATAAGCCGGTTTAGAAGAACAGCACAGCCAGCTCACCTCATCTAGCCCCCTCCTTAAAGGGCCTTAGTAAAGTTTTCACTGGATTATTTTTCCATTTCCCCATCCTTCCAAATCCAGTACATCCAGGCTGTGACAGTAGCAGGAAGTGGGAGAGAGGACTAAGTGGGGGAGGGGGCATTTCTGCAGGACAGAATCCAGGGGAAAACAGGGAGACGGAGATTCAAATTTCCTACGGCTTTGGCTGATTTGAGTACTAAGACTTAGTTTTTTATTCCTAGCATACAGGAAAAGGGTGTGTGTTGTTTCTGTGTCTCAGTTTTACATGGCCATTTTCCCTGTCTCTGTGGGTTATCTGTCTGAAAGAGAAGCTGCGCCTTCTGCATGGCTGTGTGCTAATCACTCGGGTCTAATCATGCCCAGATGCAGTGTGTTGGGATGCCCCGGCCCTGTTAGTTCAGAGCTGGTTTAAACTGTGACCGTCAGGAGAGATTGTGGGATAAAGTAATCGAGGTGAGTGAGCTCTCTTAGGAGCCCACATGTGCATGTTTCTTTACCTGTTTCGACTGTATTTTTAATTTTTAAAGATTTTATTTATTTATTTGACAGAGAGATAGCGAGAGCAGGAACACAAGCAGGGGAAGTGGGAGAGGGAGAAGCAGGCTTCCGGTCGAGCAGGGAGCCCGATGTGGGGCTCAATCCCAGGACTCTGCGATCATGACCTGAGCCGAAGGCAGACGCCCAATGACTGAGCCACCCAGGCGCCCCTCGACTGTGTTTTTAAAAGATAAGTATTAATACAGTTGGAAGTCAATTTAGGGAAGTAAAGTAGCACTGTTAATCTCAGAATCTGAGGATGCTAAATTGGGGTTTGCTCAGAGCAGGCTGCCCTAGCTCCTCCCAAGAAGGAGACACAAGGACAACTTCTTGGAAGAGGTGTTCCCTGACTAGGAGTTGGTCAAGTGAGGGAAGCCAGGGAATGTAGCTTTGAGCACCGGGCTTGGAGGCCAATGGCAGCCAGGCAGCCAGCTAGTGTGTGCACTAGGAAGCTAGAGGTACAGGTCCCAGGCACTGGTCTTGGGATAATCCCAAACTTCTGAGGAGGAGTAATGCAAAGGTTCTTCTGTTTTTCAGAGCCAGTGTTAGTAAAAGCAAACTTGTGGTTTTGAGACATTTATAAATCTGGTTCCAAGAGCACATGGTGAGACTATGAATCTAATGTGGTTTCTGTTCTCAGTGATGGTGCAGAGCTGTGAGCCAGTGGTGTGGGTGTCCTTTAAATTCCAGCTTGGTTCATATTTAACGAACTTGGCTGACTGGTAAAAATGTTTTCAGGTTTAGCTCAGAAACATGTCAAAATAAACCTGATTCTGACTCCAGTTCATAATGAATGTTGATTTTAAGGAAATGCTTTAAAATGCACTGATGTCCATGTTGTGGTTCATAAAGAAACAAAGTAGCACTGCGAGGCTAAAGCATATTTCAGCTCAATAATAAGGCTTTCTTAGAGTGACTCCATTTAGTAAGCCTTGCCTTTGCCTCCAGACTTGAAGAGTAGGCTGAAAGTGGAAGGAGAGAGGAAAGAATGCCAGTCTTGAGGAGCTGTGAGAAGTCAGGGCCCCAGGTAACACTGTAATGAATTCCAGTGAATGGTTGACAGTCATTCAAAAGTACCGAGGACGGGAACATGTTTACTAGATGTCTGGAGTGTGCCTCTATAATCCTGGGGCTCACCTAATCCTGGTAATCCTCCAGTGCTAGACTCACACAGGATTGTTGATGAGAATGCAAACCCCAACATTGCAATTCAGGATTTTGCTTGTGCTGAAATGGTTTTGTAAATTTTTTTCTTTCTGGGTTGCTCCATTCCTCAGTGTTTAATAGCATTGCTCTGTCCCAAAGTGGGTACGTGGAACCTTGCAGGTTGCAGTTTATAAAATGGAAATAGGTATTGCTGTTTTGTTTTTGTAAAAGTCATACATTTAGAAAGAATATGGGCGGTATGGGTTCCTGGCTGGCTCAGTCAGCAGAGCATGCAACTCTGGATCTCGGTCGTGAGTTCAAGCCCCACATTGGGCATAGAGCTTACTTTAAAAAAAAGAAAAAAAGAATATGGGCAGTATGGAAATGGTTTTTAAAAATAGATAAGAAAAGGAAATTTACAGTCCCATTACCCAGAGCTAACCATCCTCAACACTATTGCGGTATATTCTGCCTGGCATTGTTCTGTACAGCCATGTGCTTTTCAGCAAAGATGGATTCACAGTATATGTACTATGATGAAACTTGCTCTTGTCACACAATATATTGAATAGCACTGTTCTAGTTTTGAAGTACAATATATACAGCAAAGTACATGTGTCATAATTGTAAACAGCACCCAGTTTGAGATTCAGCTTATTAACAGTACCCTAGAAACCCCTCTATAACTCCCTTCTAGTATCCCCTTGCCCCTCAGGGGTAACTACTATCCTGACTTAAAACAGTGTAGATGGCTTTTGCTTTTTGTTGTTCTTTATATAAATTGAATTATACACTATAAATTCTTTTTGTGCTTAGCTTTGCTCAACGTTGTTTGTGGGATTAGTTCATATTGTTGCATTTGGCTATGAACTGTTTTCATTGCAACTTAATATTCCATTGTGTTAATAGCCCACAGTTTAGCCATTCTGCCATTGGTGCCACATTCAGGGAATTTCTACCTTTTGGCGGTCAGTCGTGCTAGCACTGTTTTTTCCTCTGCAAGAGAAGCCAGAGCTGCAGTAGGTGAGAGGAATGCTGATTTACACCTCTTGAGGACTTGGAGTATGGTGAAAGATGGTAGTGCCCAACTATAGTGCACCCCACACCAGCGTGCTACTGCAAGTAATTTGTTACTGACCATGAAATACTAGAAAACCCTGATGTCCTGTAGATGTAGACAGAGATGTATAGATTAGAGCAGACACAGGGTTAATCCTCCCCTGTGCCTGCTCCCCCCACCACCCTCCCAGTAGGGACACTAGAGTACTTGCCCTGCAAACCAGTGTTCAGGATGTGGGCTTGGTGTCCTTGTTCCTTCCCCTCCTGGTGAAAGCCCTACTTACTTTGTTGAGGCTCATGTGATCCTCTCACCCTCCTGGTTATGATCATCTAATCATCTCATTACTACCCATTATCTTAAAAAGTCTGATGCCTGCCTTTCTCTTCCTCCACACTTCCATCCTTCCGAGTGTCCAGCTTCTGTGTGGTTTACCCATCTGCATTGAGAGACCCCAGGATAATCCTAATAAAGGGATTTCTTAACAGCTAAAGGATACAAAGTAAAGTTAGCAAAGGGAAAAGACAGGGGCAACATCTGGAGGAAACCAGGCTCAAACTTCAGAGGGGACTTTGAAGTGGAACCACACAGGATGTACTCATTCCCCCAGCAACAAGTTGTTACAACATGTGTGGAATGTTATCTACCAGGGAAGCTCATTTAAGACTTAGTGCCCAGTGTTTTGGTTGGGGGCTGGCTATGTAGGCACCGTCTGCTTGGCACATCCCCAAATCCCAGAGTTCCAGAAGTAAAGCACAATTAAACCCTATTGATCGTACAAACAATTCAGGCACAGTGATCCACTCTTACAGGTCTGGGAGTGGTAGAAACCCTCCTGAAATCAAGTTTCCAGATAGCAGCCAAGGACCAAACTTGTAAGCAGGAATTATAAAGGATAACAGGCCTAGTATGTTAATTCTTCTGGACCCGTCCCACACCCTGGTTCCTGTTCCTTGTCCTGTGACCTTTTCCTCTCACCCTCCATCTCCTACCCAGAGGTGTGGACACACCTGGACCCTGCACATCAAGATCAGTTGCATCACTTCTGAATCATGGATTTAGACACCCCACACTGATCTTCCAACTGGCTTACTCAAGAAATAACTCCAGGGGCACCTGACTGACTCAGTTGGTGGAGCATGTGACTCTTGATCTCCGGGTTGTGACTTTGAGCTCCACGTTGGGTGTAGAGATTACTTAAAAAAAAATAAAATCTTGTAAAAATAAAAAAGGAGGGTCGCCTGGGTGGCTCAGCCGGAGAA